ACCATAATGTCTTTGAAATGCCACTCGGGATATTCAGTAGGATACCCATCAGAATACCACAAATGCTCGCCGACTTTGTATCAAATACTTGACACTTTCTATCACAGTTGGGACGTATTTGACTCCAAGACACAGAAAACCTAACAGACTTAACTAACAGACTTAAACCAAAGGCTAGCTGTTTACTTAGTAGTCCAAAGGTAGGCATTTCCAGTATTGGTATGACAGTTCCACATTGTTTTCCAGGACCTGGATTCTTCCCATCCTTCTTGGCCATCTGAAACTCACTGGTTTGCAACCTCAGCCATAAGGCATCACAGCCCAAAGATGGTGGCCACATTCTCTTATGTCAATTTGCAGAGCAGGAGGGAGTGACACCAAAACAATGAGATCTACTCATTGTCAGAATCCCAGGAATCCCCAGTCCCAATGGCTTCTTCTTCCCATTCCAGTGATGAGAACTGAGTCATGTGCCTCCTGCTGGACTTACAAGGCAGAGAGGAAAAGGACTGCCATTAGTGATCAATCTTGATCTATCACAGTTTTCAGCCAAAAGAAAAGGAAACTGTTGGTGATGTGAGAGTGTTTACTCTTCGGCCATGTGAAATGAACTACACTGGAGCTCTATTCTCCTCTGAACATTCAAGATTTTAAGATTCTTCGGGCTTTTTTCTTTCTTGCTCCTGTATCTTAATCATTAACCCTTTTCCCTCAGTAACACTTACTTTCTCAACCAAAAGGTTTCTTTCATTGACTTATTTATATGCTCACTTAATTTCTGCATTCTTTTTCTTTTCAAAAGTGCTGAGACCTACCACATTTTCAAAAAAGAAACAAGTTTATTTTGTTCTTTCCTTTCCATTGTTTATATATACTTTCATTTCTCAATGGTATCAGGAGCCTCAGAGGTCAAGAAAATGTCTTCTGCTCTTTTTATAATTGCCAGCAGCATTTCATAGGTACTAAATATACTTGACTTGCCCTTCCCCTTTATCGGTTAATCACACATACATAGGCTGTAACAGGAAGCAATAGGAATCAGGGTTTTATGGACAAGAAGCACTGCTAATATTACAAACACCCTCTTCTAACCTGTTTATATTCAATTCTTTGCATACTTGCTTCTTGCTGTAGTCAGAAAGTCCCCTAACACAGTGCATTTCCCACTTCATCCCACCTTTTCCAACATCTTTCACAGAGGCAAAGAAGGAGCTGGGTTTCCATGGTAACACAAGTGTGACAGCTGAGGGTATCTGGGCATAGGTGAGATACTTCTCAGATATAGTGTGGAGAGAAGAAATGAAGTTTTTCTTCTCTTTTTTTTTCTTCCAGTAATGCCCTTCTGAAGGTAATGAGACCCTAAAGTGTCAGCATGCAGCATTAACTTTTCACCATCATACAGATTTACAGCTCTTGGTGAAAATTCAATTTCATTTTATCTTGCTTTTATTTTGTCTTTTCCACAAACAAATGAATGGAGACATAAGTTTGTATTTCTAAAATCACTCTCAGGATAGATAGTTCATGCTGGCATAAAAATGAACATGATTAAGGAATCAGGAGACAGACATCCATCTCCCAACCAAATCTTCAAAATTCTCTACACGTTCTGACATCCTTTCTTATGCCAGCTACTCCTTCAACCAGCATTTCGTATATAGCCTCAAATTAGGTAAGTGCCATCATATAAGACAATAGGAAAGAAGATATGTCCTACTTATCATGTTTCTTTTGCTTATTAGTGGCTAAGAATTTACCCTTATGGCTACATTGAGAATGAACATGGAGAATGAATATCAAATGAATATGAATTCATCAAGAATGAATATCGAATATCAAGATGAGGAAATATATAGAGGTGCACCTACCCTAAGGGCTACAGTCTGTACACTTCTCCTTATCAAGAAAAGCCAGCAGTAATGAAAGGTCAGGGAAAACAGTCTGATAAATGTCATAAAGCTCTCCTACTCTTTATTGTGCCAAGTGCAGTGACCAGAGAGCCTACTCACTAATTTTTTTGTGACAACTTCTATCAGATGCGCAGCAATCCAGAGCTTCTCAACTTCTGAGGACCTAGGAAATGAAAAGTTGCTTAAGGTTACATCCTGGACTCACAATCCCAAAGCAAATTTCAAAAACAAAAGCCACTAGACCTATATTTGCTTGCAAAATAAATGATTTTTCAGCTCCACTGTAATGCAAGGTACTACACAGGTCTTAATGACCTATACAAAGAGAGGCGGCTTGATGCTTCTCAAAAAGCCTAGGAATTTACCACCATTATGCACCATTTGGATTTTAAAGAGACAGTTTTTCTTTTCTTCTGAAAAGAAGTGTGACTCTTGAAAACTAAAGTAACCTCAAATTAGCATGCAAGTTTCACACAAAATATGAGACTTGAAAAAGGCTAGGTGAACACTGCACTCATCTACATCTTCTTGAAATATCCCTGTGAAAAAAAGCTCAGATACAATGAATCCATGTGAGCTCCTTTAATTTTAATTCACTTTTTCACATTACTAATTTAGAATCTGAGATGAGACCTTCTACGGTTTCCATGATCTTAAAACATTCCTCTGATTTATATATATATATATATATATATATATATATATATATATATATTTGCAATCTGCCTTCACTGCTGATTCCAGAGGCTCAGCTATTAACCACTCATACTCGAACGATTTAATTAAGAAACAAAGACTGAGTTATATTTATTACACATTTTGACATGACACTTGCCCTCCATCATTTTTAAGCAAAAACTTGGTATGTGCTATACTACAGCAAGATAATGCAAATAAAAGTTCTCCATTCTAATATAATGGACTAACAGAGCAACAGAACACTGCTGAATCTAAGCACACCTTTGTAAGTAGTTTGATAATTGACAGGAAAGATGGTAAAGAAACACCTGGTTTTTCGAGGAACTCAGACCAAAATCCTCTCTACAAGATGTCCTTGCGGGGAAGAGAAGGGGCGAAGAGGTATGATCAAGCGCTGGAACTGCAGAAACTTATTATTCCCCAGAAATGTGCTTTAGTAACAGCTGGGTGTAGACTAGTCTGCGAAGGACACAGTTTAAGTGAATCCAATAACCATTTATTACAAAAGACAATCCAGGAGTACTTGGAAATCTAACTTCTCCTAAATTTAACGTTGTGGCTATGAGACTGTGTGACACACAACACTAGAGACCGAACGGGAAGTTTAAAAACTAGTTAAAAAAAAAAAAAAGTGTCTCAGGAAGGAGGCACGCCTGGAAGACCCGTGCCAACTGCTGCAGTATGTGTCCTTAAGTACCGGAAAATTTCTCACCCTAAAGACAAAAGTCCCTGCTTTCTCGATTCATCCCACGATTCAGCCCACATCCCTCAGCACCATTTCCATGCCCATCGTTTAGGTAGCATGCCAAGGAGACGTCGTTAAACGCAGAATTCATCACTCTCGCCTGCAAAACACCTTGCTCCTTGCCAGCACAGGGCACCGCGACCGGCCCCTCCAGCTCCGGCCCCTCCAGCTCCGGCCCCCCCCGGACCCCACTAGCAGCCCTGTCTCCCTACCACCGAGCCCGAGGTGGCCAGGAAATCGCGAGTCCTGATTGGCTCGCATCGAAACCTCGTCCTTCGTCAGCTCACCTGCGATTGGTTGGCAGAGCGTGCGCAGGGGCAAACGCCCAGCCTGGCCACGCAAGGGGAGGCGAGTCGGTGGATCCTGCGACTAGAGCTTTCCCCATTGGCTGATGGGCGGGCGTCACGTGGTATGAAGCGGCCCTCTATTGGCCGAGAATGGTACCGTGGGTTACAGCAGCGTGATCCGGTTGGTTGGAAGGCATCCCAGCTTCCGACTAGGTGCCCCAGCCAGCTGTTGCTATGAGGTGGCCCTGGGCGTTCCGTCGCGGCTTCGAGCTCCGCTCTCCCGGTTTTCCAGGCGCCCGCAGCTGAGAGGGCGTGGGAAGAGCCCGACACCAGGCCGGCGCCGGAGCGGGGCGGGGCGGGGCGGAGCGGGGCTGGGGGCGGTGGGCGGGACCCCCGGCGCCGTCACCGGGCGCGGGCCTGGCGTCCGCGGACTCGCCTGCGCCCGCCCTGGGCAGTGGGCCGGGGAAGGGGTCCTGACGCTTAAGGCCGAGCTTCACTTCGTTGTGTTTGTGCTCGTCCCCTTAAGAAAAGCTGCTCGTTTCGTTTATGCAAAATAAAGCCAAAGCTCTCAGGAGAACTGAGAGAGACCGGGTGGTGCCAAGACCTCCTTTTGGACCGTGCCCGTTTCTTCTCCTTACTGTCCGCCTCACGCTACCGCCTGCAGACTTGGCTCTGGCCCCGCTAACATCTCGTCTCCCCTCAAAAGCCGAGCGTGGGAGCCTCGAGCCGCCCAGGCTCCCGGCTCAGGCCGACGACCCGCGCATGCTCAGTGCGCAGGCCCCGGGGTGGGACGGGGCGCGCGGGCAGGGTGGAGCGGGGTGGCGGGGGAGGTTGTTTACCTAAGCGCGAGCCGAGGCTTCCGCACGGCGCAGGCTCCCGGGAGCGCGCGCGGCCGGTCGCCTAGGCGACGGGGGGCGGGGGCGGAGCTGCGCGGCGAGGCCCCGCCCCGTGCCGCCGGGCCCCGCCCCCGGCGGCGCTGCGGCTCCCGCTCGGGCGCGCGCTCCGGCCGCCGAGGAAGCGGCGGCGGCGGCGGCGGCGGCGGCGGGCGGGGAGCTGGGCGTGGAGGCGCGAGGGGCGGGGCGGGCGGGTGGCACTGCGGGCCCGCGGCTCGGGCGGCTCGCGCGGCTCGGGCGGCTCCCGCTCCTCCCGCTCCTCCCGCTCCTCCCGCTCCTCCCGCTCCTCCCGCTCCTCCCGCTCGCTGCTCGTGCTCAGTGCCTGCCGGAGCCCGCGGGCCGCGTTGCCGCCCGGCTCGGCCCATGCCCAGGGCTGCTGCTCGCTCCGCCGGCGCCCGGGGGGCCGCGGCGGCCGTGGGGTGGGGGCGGCCGCGGGAGGCGGCGGGGCCGGCCGCCGGCGCAGGGTCCGGGGGCGCAGCGCGGCGGGCGTAGGTCTATGTCGCGGGCGGCGGCGGCGGCGGCGGCCGCGGAGGGACGATGCGCGAGTACAAAGTGGTGGTGCTGGGCTCGGGCGGCGTGGGCAAGTCGGCGCTCACCGTGCAGTTCGTGACCGGCTCCTTCATCGAGAAGTACGACCCCACCATCGAGGACTTCTACCGCACGGAGATCGAGGTGGACTCGTCGCCGTCGGTGCTGGAGATCCTGGACACGGCGGGCACCGAGCAGTTCGCGTCCATGCGGGACCTGTACATCAAGAACGGCCAGGGCTTCATCCTCGTCTACAGCCTGGTCAACCAGCAGAGCTTCCAGGACATCAAGCCCATGCGGGACCAGATCATCCGAGTGAAGCGGTGAGAGGGCCGGGGCCGGGGGCCGGGGGCCGGGGCCGGGGGCCGGGCGGGGGGCTTGGCGGTGCTGCGGGCGCCGCGTCCCGGGCTCGGGGCGGCCGTGGGCGGGGGCAGCTGGCTGGCCGGGGACCGGCCCTCGGGGCTCCGGCGCCGCAGTCGGCGTTTCTTCCTTGGCAGCATCACCACCACCACCATCATCTTGAATCTCAGATTCGAGTGCTTTGTTTCACGACTCAAATTGGGCATCCCGGGAACCCACGGCGCGCACACAGCTCTTTGTCTCGTGGATATTGTTAGTAGCTCGTGCAGAACCCCAAGGAAACAAAGTTGAGAACTTGAAGTGGGGGAAAGGGTCGGGTAGGCAGGCTTGTGTTGGGAAGAGGGCAGCTGTGCACAGTGGAGACCTTTTCGGATTGAACCACAGCAACACAAAACCTACCTACCTAGGCGGTGCTTGACAGCAAAAATCGCTCACACGTCTATGGTAAAGAGGTCAAGTCCAGGGGAGAGAGACCTTTCTGCAAGACTGAGTGGCGCTGAGGCGTTTTACAGAAATGAACTGTGCCATTAAGACGAAACTTGAAAAGACTTTATTGAATTATTCGAAGACGTCCTAACAGTTCAGGGAGATGGAGAGTCATTAGCATATAGGAGTACAAACATGCCCTTCACATGAAGAATGCGGCTTGACTTTTTTTTTTTTTTTAATCCAACTGCCTTAACCCCCTCAAAAACAGAAAGAAAAGGAAGGGGGGGGGGAAGCATTCCTGGCAGCAAAACAAGTATCTTCAAAGGTGTAACTCTTGTATTAGCTAATTTAAAGTTAATGCAAATAAGTTCTTTCCTGATAAGAACTCTTTTTTTTTTTTTTACAGTGTGCATTTTGAAAGTAGTGCTGGTAGCTTAAATGGTTTAAAATCATTGTTTTTATATTAACTGAGCATATATTTTCCTATAACGTCAAACATCAGAAGTGTAATAATATCTTAGTTCAAAGTTTTAGCAAATTTTTCTAATTATTAGTTACACATTGTTCTGTGTGATTCTTATTATTAGCTGATCATTAATAATTTTGATCTAGTGTGATTTTTTTTCCTACCGAATTCTAGCTTTAGCCCTAAATTTGAAGACATTTCCTGAAAGATAGTTGTAAATGTACTGTAGACACAATTACGTTGTAAGTCAATTAGAAATTTGGAAAGAGCAAAGACCAACTCACATGTACTCAGTGGGTACTCAAAAATCCACCACAAGAGGTGGGTTTTTTTGTTTTTTTTTTTAAGATTTTATTTATTCACGACAGAGATAGAGATGCAGAGACACAGGCAGAGGAAGAAAGAAGCAGGCTCCCTGCAGGGAGCCCTAGGTGGGACTCAATCACGGGTCTCCAGGATCAGGCCCTGGGCTGAAGGCAGCACTGCTGAGCTACCTGGGCTGCCCAAGAGGTGGATTTTTAATGCAATGTGTGAGATCAAGGGAGAGGCCCTGTCCCCATCCCCCTTTAACTTATTGCACATGCGCTTTAATAGCTAAACTAAAATTTTGTGTATTATTTCTTCTGTTAAATTTCAGACTAGAATAAAGTGAATATTTTCATGATCTCCATTGCTGTTCTAAGATCTCTAAATCTGATAGCTTTTTACATCTCCAGCCTCATTTTCGTAAAGTTAATTGCTGTAGATAACAAATGAACAGTTTTGGTGCTAAATTTAATAAATGTGTACTTAAGGGTCACTTGAAGTGACTGAAATCCTTAATTAACATGGGCCACCTCACACTACTAAAACAACAATAGCAAAACAAACCGGTACAGAATAAGGCAGACTAATACATTGTCACATGTCAATCTTAAGCCATATACATACATCAAATAATAAAGTAAATGCCCCAACTGCTCCATACTTTACATTTAAATGTATACATGTAATTCAAACATTCATAAAGTCACATACAAAGGGCAAACTTCCTGACAAAAGCAAAAGCCTACCGGACAGAATATGGCAAAATATCCTCAGATAGTTTAGTCCACATGATTTTGTAGTTTCTTATGATTCAGCAGAGATTACTGATAGTGGGCTAGTCTAAACTTGATAGGTTAGAACTATTTATTTTGTTTGCACTACGACCCAGAGAGAAAAAAAAAAAGTAAAATTCTACTTGCCCAGATGTCATTTTACTAACTAGTCTTCAGTTCTTGATGTAAAAAGACCATGGATCCACTGAGGCAGAGTTCATAAACTCTTTTCACTGGAATTTATCTGTTGTGCCCATCAGGACCCCTTGGGCCCTTCTGTGTCTGACATTTTATACCTCACTCTAACATCGTCTGGCCTCCCAGCCTATAACATATCCTAAATAACTTCAGCATAGAAAGGATCTGTGTATATTATGTATATTGCACTACAATATATAATGCATATATCGCATAGATTGTGCTAAAGCAGGTATTCAATGTGCTAGTTATTTAATTCCTCCCACTTACTGAGAATAAAACATGTCTTTCAAATAAGTGAATTTTCTACTCTTTCTGGGAATCAACTTTTAAATTAACCAGTTGCTATTAGAAGAAGTATTCACTAATTGTTCCCTCCCTCCGCCCACTAGCTGCTTTACCTATTAGAACAGTTGTTTGGGGATATTAATAATGCTATAATGCTAACAACAAAAGTGAAGTGCAGGGAGATTTGGTATTTTATCCAAGACTAGTCACCGATGGAAGGATTTAAACCAAGATCTGTAACAATCCATGAACTCTTCTTCTATACCAGGCTTTGAACTTATTAACTGGCAAATTCAAAATCCAGCTTTTGGTCTAGGGTGGCATTGTTCAATACAAGTGTATTCTGAGCCACACATTTAATTAAAAAAATTTCTAGTAGCTTATTTTTTAAAATTATAGCAGATAAAGTTAATGCATTTTATTGAATGCACTGTATAAAATATTGTCATTTTAACAAGTAACCAATATTCAAAAATTGAGATATCTTACTACTTTCTAATTAAATTTTCAAAATCTGAAGTGTAATTTATACTCATAGCACAGCACAATTCAGACTAGCCATATTTCAAGTGCTCAGAAGGCATATGTGGCTGCAGGCTACCATATTGGATAGTTTGGGTCTAAGGTGTATATATCGTAGGGAAATAATATGCCTCAGTTTTCTTGTCTATGAAACAGATGCGCCTTTCAAAGTCTTTATTAGGATTGAGATAATTTATTGCAAGGTGTCCAACACAATACCTTGAACACAGAAATTCCTCTAAAATTCCAGCTGTTTTATTAATAACCTTGTCACCCTACCTTCTTTAAATTTTATCCTTGATATAAACGTAATTTTAAAGGTAATAAACTCATGATTGCTTTTTGAAATTCATTACTTTGTACCCAAGATGAGAATAAAAAGCAGCAGGGGTTAAAACCAACCTTGGAAAAATTTTGCTAGTATATTCTCAAAATATTTTCCCTTATTAAGAGTCTTATGGGAAAGGAGAGGAAACTGAAGATTTAACTTCAAGTATAGCACCAATGCATGGCCAGACAGTGAAATGGAACTTTTTATTGGACTGTTCTTATATGGAATGTTGTGCTTTTAGAAAATGTAGAACAAGCCCATAGTGCCTTAAGTATTTACAGGTGCAGGGGCATTCATATACATACTCTACACCCTGTCTAAGCCAAGTGGGCCAACTAAAACTGGCTATACTTATAAATTCATATGCTTTCATTTTTCAACTGACTTCAGATGAGAACACACTCAGGAAAGTGTGATAGGGATACAGAATGTGTTTCGACTAAAATAAAACTAGATTTTTTTTTTTTCTGATTTCATAATTGTTTCTCCCATTCCTCCCAGGGTAAGCTATGGTCCTGACTTAAAGTATCTTGGAACATGTCATCCAAGGCCTGTTGTTCTTAGAATAAAGCCCAGAAATCTTCCATATGACCTTCTGAGGCACACATGCTCCTGCCCATCTCTGCTTTTCCTGCCTCACCTTTTGCAATCTTCTTCATCCCTTAGATTCCAGCACCCCCTCACTTTTTGTTCCTTGGAAGTACCTGTTTGGGCTTTCCTTTTACACGTAGCAATCATTTACCTGTTGCAGTTAATTACTACTCACTTTCACCCCTACTTAAAAGATTTCCTCCTCACGTAAACCTTCTTCCTCTCCCAAGCTGAGCTAACTCCTTCCTGTCTTCCCACACCAGATTAATGTCATGCCTCACCCCTTCCCTGAACCATGCATACTTCAGACATTAGGGGCACCCTGTACTTCACTCTTGAGGTACTCACCTATGTTTAACTATCTGCGGGACAATAGACATGTCATTGGTCTTTCTCATTAAACTGTAGTCCTGTGTGGCTAGCACAGCTCCTGGCACAGAGGAAACACTCATGAAAAATGTGTTGAGGGATCCCTGGGTGGCACAGCGGTTTGGCGCCTGCCTTTGGCCCAGGGCGCGATCCTGGAGACCCGGGATCGAATCCCACGTCAGGCTCCCGGTGCATGGAGCCTGCTTCTCCCTCTGCCTGTGTCTCTGCCTCTCTCTCTCTCTCTCTCTCTCTGTGTGACTATCATAAATAAATAAAAAATTTAAAGAAATTTAAAAAAAATGTGTTGAAAGAAGACTAGTGTTTGAAAAGAACACTAGTTGCCCCTGGCCTCAGTTTCCCCAAACATTTGAATTTTATAGATGGGGGAGATAATTCTTCAAAATCCATTTTGTACATGGAGTAGATGACCTCTGTTCAGCTCTCACATTCTGCCACAGTACTTGCATTTAGTTGGGGTGATAAGGAAATGGGTGAAGTTTCATAAGAATCTTGAAGCATCAGGAGCGTAAAGTCTTCAGATGAGGGAAGTGGCATGGGAAACTCATAAAATATGTTTGTTGGCCATTAAATAGACCAGATTGGCTAAACAAGGAAATCCTAGAGAAGTGTGAAAGGAGGGAGGTAAGGCTCAGAAATGTAAAGCTAAGTTCCAGAAGGTTAAAAGACTTT